GAGCGTGAAGAGGCGCATGTTGACCAGTTACGTCAAAAGGATGCTCACTACAGTATTTTGGTGTCACAATTGAAGGAACGTATCGATGAACTCGAAAAACGTCTCGAAGAAATGGCAAAACAGTAATTGTCTTGTTGAATTGCGTTATACTGAGATTGTATCTGAATCATTACAAGTAATGTTGACAAATATTCAAAATTTGATTCGGGTACTCGGGCGCCGAATCACACAAGTTAGATTCCGCAATCGGCAGATCGCCGAAAGTTTTGGCAGTTGGCGATCTGCCCCTCGATCGCCGAAAATTTCTGCGATCTTTGAGGGGGTTCTAGCGCCGACTTCGACATTTGGTTGTCCGTTGTTGCTAGCACTAATTGAGAGTGTTGTTAATCAATTGAACGCATCCTGAAAGTATGAAGCAATCCTTTGAATATGCAATAATTTACAGGCGTACCAGTGTTATGGAGGGCGAATTATCTGAGTTGAAAGAGCAACTTGCTGCACGTGATGTTAGTCCAGCACTTGCATACAAACCTACATGTGCTCACGAAGTGAATCCAGTTCAATCAAAAGTGGTGGCTGTCAAAGCGAGCCAAGTACAATTCATTTTGAAATATCTTTTATACATAACTGTGTTGTTTTACAATGACAACCAGCAATTTAAGATTATATAATGATAGCTGTATATTTTAGCGATGATCGTCATATTAAAGCATATAATCTGAACACTTTATTTCATCGTAACCTTCATTTAGCCTTTCTGGAGGCTAGTTCCTGAGTGTTGTCGGAACGAAAAACTTTTGCGAAATTTAACTTAAAATTCAGACGTCACAAGGAGCACCACCAACAACGTCGCAGCCAGCCACTGGAATCGAGAGCGGTGGCGATAGTTGTACGGAAGAGGCTGCAGCGTCTTGCGATGAACAAAAGTCATCGTGTGATAGTCCTGTACCGAGAATCTCTGAGCCTGCAAGCCCAGCAATGCCACATAGGTTCACACAACGAAAAATGCTTTTTCCACTGCGAAGACGATACGTTACGAGTAAGCGAATCTAATATTGATTGTCATTAAGCTGACTACTCAGTGTTGGAATTTACTACTGCCCGAATTATGCGCATCTATATGATGATAACTCAAAAGAAGCGTTCCGTCACCGGTATAAATGCACTTATTGCGATCTGCTCTTAACAGTGATTGTCGTTGGAACATGTTGAGCGTAATATGTCAATTCACATTAACGCGCTACGATGAAGACTGTTTTTGCATGCATAATAAATTTCGTTTATTCTCTAGTTGACTGCGGTAATTCAGTGGACATCATCAGACCAACCGAGAGATCGAGAATGTTTTCATTTCTTCAGTCAGAAATTATCCGATAATATTCGTGTTCATTTGCGGTTTTTCATTCAGATAGCTGAGTAAACACAATGACGATATCCGAAATAACGTACTGATTGTGTAAAATGGTTTATTCACTTAAGAAATAATATTTTTAAAGACCTTCTGGAGCGTTCTCACAAAATTAATTTGAAAAAAAAAGAGAGCTGTTCTAGTTCGACTGAATATACCTCAACTGGTAACATAATATAAGAGGTGGGGTAATGTGTGATATATTATCATACTTAGTAATACTTTTTTTTTCAGCTGAACACGAGTTTTGGCGAGATTCCTTCGAAACGATACAGGTTTATAATTATTCAATCGCTTTCTTGTTTCCTCGACCTTGATAATTGTCCGTTGACAGGGAATTTTTCCACATTGATACGTTGAGATCCGTAAACAACAAAGCGTTTACTCTTTTTTCTTCTTCAACAAGAGATCGTTTACTGATGGTTACCTCGAATAGGAGAAAAACAACTAAGAATTTGTCATGTTTTTCAGTTTTAAAAACCTCTGAAATTGAACTTAGAAATGATAACGAAAATTGTAATAACGATTGTAGTAATTAGCCTAGCGTCAGTCTTTAGCGCGTTGCACGAAAAAGAAATAGAACCAGTAACCTTTCAGGTTAATTTTATCGTAGTGAAATTTTGCTTAAGTTATTCTGGTCTCAAGAGGTTTTTTGAAAGGTAAGACTGAGAAAATTTCAAAATTGAAAATGACAACCTTTGTGATGTAAATTTGCAGTGTATTAATATTGCCGGTTTCATGCATTAATAAAACACTTCGCATTAGTGAAATAAGTTCATCACAGTAACCTATTTATTCCTGAGATTGTTCTTATTTGTGAACGTTCGTAAATCGCTGATTGTGCTTGCTTGCATTAGGGAAGTTTCGATTTTGTATTATAAAAAAAAGATGAATGCAAAAACAATATTTAAGGGATTACAAGTAGTTCATTGGACATGTGATGATGTCTGTCAACTTCTTATTCAAATGGGACTCGATAAATATATTCCTGAGTTTACTGTTAATCAGATCACGGGCAATAAATTTCTGGATCTCGATGGCAACAAACTCAAAGTATTGTTTTCGTTAATAATGTTACTGATATTATTATTGTTATCACTCCTATTATTATTTTTTTTATTATTGTCTATTAACTTTATCGAAAATTTTTTTTAGATAGTAAAAATCCATTTGTGGAGTTTGATATTGTCTGTTTCTTTTATCATTTAGAATGAGGTCATATTGGTTGCTTGTTGATGTTTCAATCATAAATGTATTTATATTTTTATGGAGCCACAAATTTCAGGCGATGGGCATTCAAAATCATTCGGATCGTTCGGTGATCAAGAAAAAAGTGAAAGCAATAAAAGCAAAGATTGAAAGGGAACGAAAAGCGCTTGAAAAGGAGAGTCGACATCGAACGGTAGCATCAATTCAGTAATTGCTCATTTCAGATGTTTTTCACTCATTCACCGCGTTGCACATCCACTTTCAATTGATCATGTTCCCATTCCTTTCGGAATTCATTTTTATTCACTCCTCCAAAACGAAACGCATTCTTCGAATGCAACTTCTTGCGCTCTATCTTCAAGAGTCCTTTTGTAATCTGTGCAGAAATTTTCATCTGAATTCACCTTCTGTAACAATTTGTCTTCCGTAGAAAAGTCGGTAAAAATGCATGCCAATGAAAAACGAGCTATCGTATAAATTAATTGACCTAATTTTTTTACAACAGTAGAAGTTTGCTAATGTTTTGTTTTTGCAGAATCGGTGAGAGATTATTCCAGTTTCAGTTTTTTTTTTTGAAGAGCTAAATCATTTTACTAATGATTCCACGAAAAGAAAACACATTAATTTAAAATTTCTAATCCCTAAACATCTCCTTCCTTTGGTTCACAAGTAATTTTTAGTGTGAGCAGTCAGCGAATGTTCGGTAAATTCAAGCAGCAGATTACATTCTCGCAGCAAAATTACTCTCAAAGCTTCTTCACTTCTATCAATTAATGTGCATAATAGCGTTGTTTGGCCATTTGACTTCTGATGACTGGGTCTAATTACATCCTGTATTTATTGTTATATCATGTAACATATA